TTGTGCTGCCCAAAGCTGGGTCCAGCCTTGCCCATCCTCCAGTGGGTCACCTTGCTGTCTTTTCTTCTCAGCTGGATGTTAGGCTGAGGTTTCCTTTAGACCCAACCTTAGACAAGTTGCTGTGTGCCTTCAATATTCCTCTCTCTCTGATTTTGCCTACATCTTTGCACACTTTGATATGCCTACTCTAGATAGTGCGCTTCAAACGTTTTCCAGAGTCTCTCTCCTTATTTCAACAAGTGTTTAGCTTTAAACGGAGTGCTTTGGTGCTGACTCTGGCTGGTTTTATCTTGCGCCCAAGCCTAAAAGAGTTTTGTCTTACCCTAAGTTGGGTCACTTTAAGGACTGGCAAGGGAAGTTCTTTTGGCTGCGAGTCCCTGCCGATTTTGGCTGCCCTCGCTCTTTTTGCTGCGTCAGGTCGAATATAGGGGGTGTTACTCTACAGGCAGCTGATGCTGCCAAAGAAGCTCGGGCCTTTGAGGGTGATTCTTATGCCCCCAAGACGTGGCTTCCTAATGGAATATATGTTATAGGAAATGCTAAGCTCTCTGCCATGCGCTTGTGCTCAACGCATGAGTCAGGTAAAATTTTCCTTTTTGCTTGGCCATTATCTTTGTTTTGTTTTCTGCTTTGCTCTCTATAATACTGCGATTGACTTGCGTTTCTCTTATTCACAAGTTATGATAAGTTAGAAAAAATGTTGCTAGGCGTGGATGATACCTGGAAGCCTCTTGTCAAGACTCCAAGGTATCCTCCCTTCCCCCTTGAAGTGTTAGAGGTTTACGTTGCTGCCCATTTGGGCGAGACGCGTCCTCTCCCTGTGGAGTTTAGGCATAGGCTAGGCACTGCTGGTAGTGAACAAGTCAAGGACATTGATGATTCTCCCAAGAAGTCTGGGTCGTTGGTGGTGCCGAATGCTTCGGCTGCGGCCTCCGATCGGTGGACAACCCATAATGTTGATGAGGATAAGGATGAGGCCTACACTCGCGAAATCCCTATTGTTAATGAAACTTCTGACCGCACAGGTCACAACAACGATGAGTTTGCGAATTCCTTGTTCATTGCTGCCTCTTTCGGTGCTCTGACCACTGGTGGGGCCTCTGAGCCTATGCAAGTTGATGTATCCTCTGGGCAGGAGCCGTAGGTTCTATTTCTGTTGGGCATGTTCTGCCCTCCACTAATGAAGGTCTACCTCCTCTTTATAAGAGTCGACCTCTCCCATCCTCTGTTTCCACCGGGCATGTTCTGCCCGAAATTCCTATTGCCGCAGGATTAACTGTTGAACTTCCTACCTCTGCATTTTCTGGTGCTCCGGTGACTCACAGCCCTGTTTCTCAGCCACGATCATATCGCAATCGTCTACGCAGCCGTCGCCATGGTGGGCTTGCGCCTAGTACTTCGGGTAGAGGAGGCCTTACTCCTGTTATTGACTTGGAGCCTGTTTCTCCTCCACGCGAGCCTTCTCCCAAGAAAGCCTACCGTGGACGAATTGCTTGCTTCAGCCTCTGGCCATTCTGAGCCAGTTACAGCGCTGAATTCTCAAGGTGGGGCTGCTCCTGCCTCTAGCGAACTTAATCTCTATGTGAGTCATTATTTTGGGGAGACTTACACTCATCCCTTCTCTGTTTATTCTAAATCCGCAAGCGGGGTTTTCAGGTCGGCTGCTCCCTTGGAGTTTTCTGAAGTTCACATTGACGCGGCTCTAAGGTCTGCGCCATTTCCTTTTGGGGGGCTGACGAGCCTTTTTGTCCTGCTCTAAATGTCAGGGCTGACGAGTCTATTTTCTTGGATGATCCTCTTCAGGGAGGTACCTTAGGATATAAGCTGACATAGGGCATTCGGCTTCCTGCTGACCTTGGGAATGAGTATGTCAGTGTTCCCGCTACCATTGCTTGCCATGACCTACAAAAGGTACCGTTTGATTTCGCTTTTAGTTGCCCTTTATTTTCTTCGGTTTATTTTTCAATTCTTATTGAACATTCTTTCTTCTTTGTTGACTGCCCAGCTCACTCGCTCTGTTGGTGATCTGGCTAATGCTTTGCTCACTGTTTAGAAGGGGTATCAGTCTCAGGGTTCAAGTTTAAATGAGAAGGTGGCAGACTTGGAGCGGGCTCAGAACAAGAAAGTAAAGCTGGAACGTGGATTGAAGGAGAAGGATGATGCGTTGCGTGCTGCTCAACTTCAACTACTGGGTACCTCCTGGCTGCGCAGAAGCTGGCAGAACGTGATGACGAGTTGAAAAGGGCTCAGGCCCAAGTGCAAAGTTTAGAGGCGACTATTGCTAGTTTGGAGGAAGACCGTACTGCGGAGCTTAATGCAACCCGCAGGGATGCCTTAGTAGAGTTTTCCTCCTCTCAGACTTTTGCAGACTTGCTCACAGATAGACATGATGAAGGTTGGGAGGTTGCTCGCAGGTGTGCCAATTATGTATTTGGTACAGAAGAGGGACAGCAAGTGAAGTTTGAGCAGTTTTGGAGCAAGGTTGATCAGGCTGGGAACCAAGATGTTTATGCGTATCCCGTTGAACACCCTCGCATTGTTGTTTGTGGTATTCCAGACTACGTTGTTCTTTACAAGGTTCCTGCTAAGTCTCCTGACCTTGCTGCTGCTATTGGGGTAGATGCTCTTCCTACCAACCAATAAAGGCTTTGGTGACCAACTCCCTCTTCCTCTAGCGACTCGTCTGAGTACCACTTTCCCCGCTCCATAGTGAGCTAGTGCTTATTAGCTTTTTCTTTCTTCTGCCATTAGGGTGTTTGGCCGCCAATGGTTATTTTGTTTTTGAGGTCTTTGATTGTCTTGGCTTACTGCCAAAACTGCCTGCTCTTCTCATGTTTGTTAGAACAATATCTTTATGTTTTTCAATCTTGCACTTTTGGTTTTTACCTAGTGTCAAGGGTTGTCTGGCACAGACTTTACAGTTTATTTTGATGTACGTATTATGGTTTTCAGCTTTCTTCTTTTCCTTTGGTTGTGTGTTCCTTATTGTGCATTTCAAACTCATCCTCAATCCTGCCAGTGTGGCTTCGTACTCAGCTTCATTATTGAAGGCTTGAAACTTGAATTTTATTGCATATTCAAAAATGTTGCCTTCTGGAGATACCATGATTACTCTAGCCTCGCTTCCTATGTTGGCAGCCGAATTGTCCACAGCCACCTTCCACGTCCCAACCTCTTCATCTATCTCTTCGTAGCTTGCCTCTAATATAAAGTCTGCCAAAGCTTGAGCTTTTATTGTTGTTCTATGCTTGATTTCTAGCTCGTACTCAGTCAATTATATTGCCCATTTTAGTAACTTGCCTAAGGCATCCATTCTTTGCAAAGCTTATTTCAGCAGGTAATTTGTTAATATTTGTACCACATGAGCATCAAAGTATGGTTTCAGCTTTCTTGCAGTAGTGACAACGGCTAGGGCCATTTTTTCTACTAGCGCGTATCTTTGTTCTGCCTGGGTTAAGACGTGGCTGACGAAATAAACTAGATGCTAAGTTTTTTCTCTTTCCCCCAGCAGGGCTGACCCTATTGTTTGCTGCGACACAGACACATATAATTGTAGCTTCTCTCCTACCCCTAGGCTTGTCATCGTTGGCAGGCTGACCAAGTGTTCTTTTACATTGGAAAATGCTTCCTTTTCTGGTTGTTTCCACTTGAACGTACGATTGCCCTTCAGGAGCTGAAAAAATGGTAAAGCCTTATTTGCTGACTTACTAATGAACCTGGTAAGGGCTGCCATTCTGCTTGTCAACCTCATAACATCCTTGACACTCTTAGGCTCTAGGAGACTCAGAACAGCTTGTATTTTTTCTGGGTTTGCATTGATTCCCCTTTCACTCACCAAGAAGCCTAAAAACTTTCCTGTTGTTACCCCAAATACACACTTCTTTGGGTTTAACTTTATGTGATACCTATTCAGCGTGTTGAACGTTTCTTCCAAGTTAAAGATGTGATTGTGTGCTGTCAGATTCTTACTATGGAATCATCTACGTACACTTCTACATTCCTCCCCTTCTGGCGAGCAAAGACCTTGTCCATGGTTTTCTTGAATGTAGCCCCTGCATTCTTCAGGCCAAAAGGCATTGCGACATAGTTAAATACTCCTTTATCTGTGATGAAGGCAGCTTTCTTTCTGTCTGGCTCATACAGGCTTATCTGGTGGTAACCCGAGAAGGCATCCATAAAACTCAGAAGTGCATGCCCACTCATTGAGTCTACCATATGATCTATTTTAGGCAGAGGATAGCAGTCTTTTGGGCAGGCTCGATTCAGGTCTGTGAAGTCTACACACATTCTCCGCTATCCGTTGGCTTTCTTGACCATTACTACGTTTGCTAGCCATTCTGGGTAGTCGCAAGGTTCTATGAACTTCGCAGCCAGGAGCTAGTCTACTTCTTCCTAAATAGCCTTATTCTTCTCTAGGGAGAAATTTCTCAACTTCTACTTTACTGGTAGTCTTTCCTGACATTTAGACGGTGTTCCATAATTTTTGGATCAATACCCGGCATTTCGTCCGCTGAGAATGCAAACACCTCCGCGTTCTTTCTGAGCAGCGCTACTAGGTTCACCCTGACATCAGCCTCAATGTTTTTCCCAATCTTCACTGTTCTAGACTCGTCTCCTTTGACCGGTGTAATTACTTCATGCTCCCCCTCTAGGGTTGGACGGGCTGCCTCTTCCTTCTCCTACTCGAAATTTTCCATGGCTAGCCTCTACTTCTCCTTTTCTTCCTTGTTTGCCTGCCTCTTCCTTTTTCTGGAAACTTTTTCTTCTTTTGCTACCTCTTTAGGGACTTTGGGCTGAGAGTCGTATTTCACTGGGTTCCTCAGAGCAGTAATATAACATTGTCTTGTTGTTTTCTGACAGCCTCTCAACTTGGCCAAGTAGCCTCTGTTGTTAGCATAAGTCAGCGCCAAGTGTAGCGTAGACACTACACCGCTTATTTTATGGATGAGAGGTCTGCCCATAATTACATTGTAAGGGGATTGAGAGTTTATGACAAGGAATTATGCCCTCATGTTCCTGGCCTGAGCTCCTTCTCCCACTTGAACTGACAATTCTATTATCCCATCTGGTATCATTCCTAAGCCATCAAACCCTGTGACTTCATAGTTCACCCCTCTGAGGTCCCTGTTATCTAGATGCATTTTATGGAAGGCGTCTATGAACATGATGTTGGCTGAACTACCTCCATCTACCAGAACTCTCCTGACTTTCCAATTCGCAATTGTTATGGAAACTACTAAGGGATCATCATGTGGGTATATAACTTTGTGCTGATCCTGCTCATCAAATACCACCTTTAGCTAAGGAGGTGGCGATGGCCATTTTCTGCGTTCATTATAGTTCACTTAATGAACCATGTCTCTGAGGTCAGCCCTGGCTATACTGACTGTTCCTCCATGCACAAGCCCCCCACTAATCACCAGCACGTCTCCTAGCTCTCTCTTGTCTTTGTCTTTTTCCTCCAGCTTGTTCTTGTCATTCTTGTTATCCCTCCATCGGTCATTTCTGGGTCTGCCATTACCTCGACTCCTATCCTGCCCAGCGTACTGCTTAAACTGATTCAAATACCCCCTTCTTATGAGGTCTTTGATCCTGTCTTTGAGGTGGATGCTTTCCTCTGTTGTATGTCCTTTGTCTCTATGAAAGTCACATCACTTCTTTGGGTCTAGGTTATTTGTGGTCATCCTTGGTGGTCTCTGCCACTTGTCATCGTACTTATTCACATTGAAGATGTGAGATTGGCTGTGGGTCAACGGGGTATAATGTTCGTACTTGCCCTGCAACCTACCTCTGCCCTGCCTCCTCTGGTCAGAAGACCTTTCATTGTCCCTTCTCTGCTGGTCTGCCCTACCATATCCGGCAGGGTTAAGCTCTGGCTTGTTTGTCGCTTCTACTCAATTGAGCTCTACCCTTCTGCTCAGCTTGGCAGAGGCAGACTTTCTAGCTAGCATAGCTCGGTCTGTCTCATCCCCTTTGATGATTTCATGGGCTTTGCCTAAAGCTTCCGCCAGGGTTTTCAGGTTTTTTCTTCCCACATATTCCTTAAATGCTGACCATGAGAGTAAGCCACTCTGCATTGCAAGCAACGCTACTTCTTGGCTCATGTTGGGAATTGATGATGTTGCCTCTTTGTTGAATCGAGTTATGAAGTCTCTGAGTGACTCAGTCTCTCCCTGCTCTAGTGACATCAGTTCCATTGTCATTTTAGTGCGATCCATTAATGTGACAAAATGATCCATGAATAACCTCTTCAGGCCATTATACGAATAAACTGACCCTTTCTCTAACGAGCGATACCATTCTGCCGCCGGTCCCTCCAGGATTGGAGGAAATGCTTTACACCAAACTAAGTTAGTTCTGGTGTATAAGACGATGTAACTCTCGAAGGCAGACAAATGATTCTTAGGAGTCGTTGTTCCGTTGTATTTGCACAAAGGCATCTTAATCTTTTCCATTGGTTCCTCCAAAATCTCCTTGCAAAAGAGTGGGTCCTCAGGGATCACCATGATCTTCGCCTTCTTGGAACGTGTTGGGCTCATAGATTGACTATGGGTTGGGGATCTGCTGCGCTGATTCCCAACTGGAACCTCTCCTGATTCCTCCGAACTCTACTCCTTGTTCAAGTTTCTGGCCTCCAGCTCCTTCACTCTCTTCCTCGGGGCTGCCAACTCCTTCTGCTCTGGGGTCAGACTCTGCGCGGATGATCTAGCTAAGGTCTTCCCAGCAGATGTCTGCAGACGAGTGGAACTCGTCTCTTTTCCAAATGAGTTCAGCACAACTGTAATAGCAACCAGCTGCTCCTTACTGCACTGGGACAAGTTCTGCAATACCTTTGGTATGTGCACCGTTTGAAGCTTTCCTGTCGGTGTTTGAGTAATCACCTTGTTCTGGTTTGTGAGTGGCATTCCGAATCGAACTGTTTGGGTTGGTCCGATTGGTTTATAGGCTCCATTTGTATTTTTGGTGATGTCGGAAGAGGTTCCAGCTTGATTTGGGTTATGGGTACTGGTCGAGATTAATTTTGCAGTTGTTTTTGCGGGATCGGGTTTATATTGTGGTGTTTGAGCATTATTGGTCAATGGTGTTTTGGTCGTTGGATCTGGTTTTTCCCCCGTCATGACGGCTTTTCCAACCTCGAACAAGCTTCACTGGTTGAGCTAAGGTGTTAGAACTACCCCCTTCTTCTAGCGCCAATTGTTCCGGGGTAGCTCCGGAGCCTAGCTGGGAGTCTGGCCTGAACGTCGGTCGAAAGTCACCTGCACAATAACGGTGGTTATGCCCTCGGGGGTGGCTTCTAGGAAACCCCCCCCCCCCGATGGTTAAGTTAGCAAGGTTGTTTTATAAACAATAATGGATAAATTATGAAAAATATGTGTCTAACCTGTTTCTTGTTGCATTTGGGTTACTATTTATAGTTATTCCATTCTTGGTGCTGCAGGCTGAGGGCTACTGAGGTCAACCACAAAGCTGAGCCCCTGGGAGGCTGTCTCTGACTCCTAAATGGAGCCTACTGAGGCTAGCCACAAGGTTGAGCCCCTAGGAGGTTTTCCCTGACCTTGGACCGGACTGGCTTGAGTGCACACCTCCTTAGAGGTGCTGGGAGCACGGGGCAGCTTAGCGGGAGCTACCTTATACAACTAGTCCCTCAAGGGGTGGTCTGAGGTACTCAGGCCAGCTCTTGCTTACTTGAGATATTCTTCTGAGTTTAGGAGCATGGAAAGAGCTCTGCCGAAGCTATCCCATACAATTATTATCCGAAATTTCTCCAACTTTATTAGTTTTTGTAGGAATAAAAAAGAAAAAGAAAAAAGAAAAATAATTTTAGTAACAAATATAAATGTATATACTTTGTTTTCCTACTCTTAAAAGTCATAATAATAATATCATGTGTTAAGATTTTGTGGAAAAACTTACCACTAATTTTGTTTTCAACTAAAAAATATAAAATACAATACATAATTTTAACTAAGCAATCAAAAATATATATTTTGGATATGAATTTAAATTTTTTTCCCCTACTTCAATATGAAAAATAATATTATGTTTGTAATAATATAAGCATATTAAATGCTTACAGTTTTCCTACAAAAATAATTGAATGTTATTAATTTTTTTTCTTAAAAAAATCATATATTTACTAAATATCACAAAGTAAAATAAAATAAATAAATTCGCACAAAACAAGTCTGACATGGTATATGTATATCCATATATGAGCATATTGTAGTATTATACTGGTACTTATCTAAAATCTTTTTTTTTCCCTTATATGGAGTAGTATAACACCTTATATTCCATAATTTTCTTTCATTTTTATATTTATAAAGTCTTATGCAATATTTCAATAACTTTGACTAATTTAATATGAGTATAAAGTAAAATTCAAGTTATTTTGTTTCAAGTAAAAAAAAAAAAAATTGGTAAATTATTGTTAAACTAAATAACATAATTTAAATAAGCCCAGTTTTGACGGTAATTACTAAAATTGTTATTTATTTTACCAATAATTTACCAAAATATTATTTTATTTTATTTTACTTGAAACAAAATAACTTGAATTTTACTTTATACTCATTAAATTAGTCAAAGTTATTGAATTATTGCATAAGACTTTATAAATATAAAAATGAAAGAAAATTATGGAATATAAGGTGATATACTACTCCATATAAGAAAAAAAGAAGATTTTAGATAAGTACCACTACAATACTACAATATGCTCATATATGGATATACATATACCCTTCATTCCTAATTTTTTGTCAAACTTTGATTGACACAACATTTTATACGGATTTATTTATTTTATTTTACTTTGTGATATTTAGTAAATATATGATTTTTTTTTTTTTTAAGAAAAACATTAATAACATTCATTTATTTTTGTAGGAAAACGATATATGCAGCCCTAAGGGTTGCATATAAGCATTTAATATGCTTATATTATTACAAACATAATATTATTTTTCATATTGAAGTAGGGGAGGAAATTTTAAATTCATATTCAGTTACTACATATTTTTGATTGCTTAGTTAAGATTATGTATTTTATATTATATTTTTTAGTTGAAAAAATGAAAACAAAATTGGTGGTAAGTTTTTGCACAAAATCTTGACACATGATATTATTAGTATGACTTTTAAGAGTAGGAAAACAAAGTATATACATTTATAATTGTTACTAAAATTATTTTTCTTGTTTATTAACAGAAATAGTCTTTATTCCTACAAAACTAATAAAGTTGGAGAAATTGTGGATAATAATATATTCTAATATATAACCTTGTAATTAATGTAGAAAGGAAAATATTATTATTATAGTTTATGTTAGGAAGATTTGACAAAAAAAATCAAAAAAGGGAAAGAAAGGAAAAGGCGGGAAAATGTTTAATAAGAAATTGACATGTGTCATTTTTTATTCGCTTTTACTATATAGTTATTGATTGATTTTCTTTCATTTTTATGTTTATAAAATCTTATGCAATAATTCAATAACTTTGACTAATTTAATATGAGTGTAAAGTAAAATTCAAGTTATTTTGTTTATAGTAAAAAAAAAATTAAAAAAATTAAAAAAAATAAAAAAATTGGTAAATTATTGTTAAAATAAATAACATAATTGGTATAAAATTTAATAAAATCGTGCGTAGCACGGGATTTAAGCTAGTTTACATACTACGTATTAATACTCTATATTAATTTAGTTAATCAGTTTACTAAATGTTAGTGATAAATATTGGCACCAAAAATTTATTTATTCATGTTACCCCTAGAGGTGTCAATTCGGATGTTCGGGTCGGTAGGTGAGAGATCGAGTCAAATCTTGTCTAATTTCAAACTTGAGTCATACTAACTTATAGTGGCCATATGAGACGAAATCTGAATCGAATATTTTTCGGGTTGATTTCAAGTCGGATCGATCAGCCATACGAGCCGAAATCTAAATCGGATATTTTTCAAATTGATTTCAAGTCGGATCGGTCGGTAGATGAGATCGGGTCCAATCGTGTCTAATTTCAAACTTGAGTCATGCTAACTTATTGTGGCGGGTTAATTTTAAGTCGGATCGGTCGGCCATACGACCCAAATCTAAACCGGATATTTTTCAAATTAATTTCAAGTCGGATCAATTTGGCCATGTTTTGACACCTCTAGTTTCCCCTTCTCGTTCCAAACAACTTCCATTAGTTTACATTATATTATGCCCTAATTGTCTCCCTCCATAAGCAAGTGGGATTATTGGAGAAGACATGATATCATTCAAAGAAATGAGACAATCTGTCACTGTCCAAGTGCCCAGAAAGGATTACGAGATCTGTATTATCCAATAATACATCACCATTTAATGAGAAACGGCTTGCACAAATACACAAAAATGAAATCAGTTAAAACTAAAGATCCTCTATAAAATAGTATGCATTATCATCTCATTCATTCATTCATTCATTCATTCATCTTCCACAATCTTTCACAACTCTATTTACATATGCAAATCATAATTCACAAACCCTTTTTTTTGGAACTATTTTTCTCTTTTCTTTCCACAAAAACTAAAGGACTGAAAAAAGACCAAATTTAAGAAATTAGAACTTCATACTACGAACTTTAAAACATCGAAATCAAACCCCCAACTACAACACAAAATTATCCATAATTTGGTTGCTGCCTTTAGCTGGGAGGGGAGGTTGGTAATGATCCAGTGCTACGAGATGCACCGCATAGAGAAGGTAGCCATCGGAGAATCAACAGATGGCGCATCATACACCCTAGGATGATCGCTCTCTAATCCGTAGTCCATCATCGGACGGCGCTCCAAGTCTTCATCATGATCAGTCACATACTCAGGAATCTCTATTGCATTCCTCCTTATGTGCTCCCACAGGAAATCCACCCTGCTTACATACTTCACCTTACCATAAAACCTGCCACACCATATCAAAACCCACTATTAGTTTTCTTTAATAAAGCAAGAGAAAAGAAACATTAGGAGACAAAACACACTATTAGTTGATTAATCATTTTTGGTCAAAGGAAACAAGGGTAAATAAATAATTATAGAATTCATACGAGGTATAGTATAATCCAAAGTTTCTAATAAACTAACAATATAATTTGTTCTTAATCATACTTGTATAAAAGTAGAAACATTGATCATGATATAATATACGGAGTAATAATAACCGACACTAAATTATCAAAACATTAGTTTTTCTAGTAAAGAGGATTACAAAATTGAGAATTTTAATCCAAAGCATTTATCATATAATTAAGGAGAGGATCGGATCGGATCTTAGTCGTACAATCTCGCAAACAAATAATCTTGGTTGTATCATGCATTTGGTATAACCGGTTAAAAGCACAAAATTATCAATTAAGAGATCCATAATAACCAAACTACATCTAATCCACAATTTTATAAAATTAAAATATTAAGATCCATATTACTCGATCAATATAATTTTCAAATTTTATAGATTCAATATTTGACCAATCAACACAGATTCAGCAAAATAGGCCACCAGCGCACGTTAGCAAAAAAAAAAAGAGGAAATAGACTAAAATGCGCATTAAAGAGAGGAGAGAGAAAGCTACCCGGAGGAGAAGAAGAGGCGACCGACGGTGGCGAGGAAGAGGCGAGATTGAAGGCCAGGGTGGAGGAAATAAACGGAATCAAGGCTGCTTTGAACGGACGGTGGGATGTTGTCGACGATAGATCGGAGGGCTGAGATTCCAGGAAAATTCTCTCCACGATCAACACCAGTGTGAATGTATAGGACAGAGAATTCACCTTTTTTCAGGAGTTTTGGGTATATCTTCTCCTCTAAGTATTTCTTCACCACTTCCACGCTTACAATTCGAGCTTCAATTGAAAAATTGCACAAAATAATTAGATTAATTCTATAAAAATTATATTATAAAATTGTGAATCAGGAAAAAAATCAAAGGGAGACAAATTGAAGACGGAATTAAAGAAAATTAAGATAAAAATTTACAAACAGAACAGAAATTAGATATAAAAAAGCGAAATTACAGAAAACTTCAAACCAGAAAAGAGACAAATTCAGGAATGATTAAAGAATAAACGAAAAAATTAAAGAAGAAGAGAAAAGAAGAATATTAAACAGAAAAAACATGCACAATAAAATCAGCTGAAATCTAAGAAACGGCGTAATTCAAAAGGCAATGACGTACTTAGAGAATAAACAGAATTTGAGAATCAGGAACAATTGAAGAAAATTGAAGAATGAATCAAGAAAATAATAAAAATTACGAAATTAACAAATAACACAAATCAAGAAATCAAAGAACAAAATTCCAGAAAATTTCATGATTAAGAAGAAAAGAAGAGGAAATTACCAGGAAAGAATTTGGCGAGGATGGTGAGGAGTTTACGGCCACCTTTATCACGGCCATGGATGCGAAAAACGTTAAGTTTATGAATTAATTGGAATTGATCCGACTCAGAAAGCGTAGTAGTGGAAGCCATTGTTTTAGTTGTTTTACCTTATTTTTTTAATATTTGGGATTTTTTTATAAGATTCGTTTGGAAAAGGGATGAAAGAAGTGGTTGAGGGAAGAAGAAAACAGGGGATTTTGAAAGTGAAAGAGGAAAAGTAGGTTGGATTTTTATTTATAATAACGATGATAATAATTAAAATTAATAATTAATAAATGAATTTTAAAAAGGGATAAGATTTGAGGGAAGAAATAATAGGGTAAAGTGAAAAAAAGAAAAGGGATTAGATTGGATTGAATTGTTGATAGGGATGTTTGTATGATTGTATGATTCTGATGATGATGATCTTAATTATTTACGGCAGTGAGAAGGAGGGAGGGAATATGCGAGGGAATCTTCGCATTTTTGAAAAATCACCCGCACCCCTTTCTCTTTTGTCACGCCCCCCAATCCATTACTGCTACGTTTCTCTTTGATTTCAGATTTTTTTTTTTTTTTTTTAAAAAAAAAAAAAAAATTGTTTAGTTTTGATTTAATATTATTCTAATAATTAAAAGAGTTTTTTTTTGTTTTGGATGAATGATTTTCCGAAAATTGCGTTTTTAGAGATTGAAGGATAAATTTTCCACCACTGGTTTCCATGTCAAAAAATTGAAAAATTATATTTATAGAAAGGTTTTAACGATAAACATATCCGGTGCAATGTTCAAGGTGTTAATTTTTACAGCCCTCGTGTGTGGCTGACCATATTGTGTGGCCACTTATAAAAAAACTAAGTAACTCATATAATATTGACCAAGTAACTCCTGTAATACTAACCGAGTAACCCCTATAACACTGACCGAGTAACCCTATAACACTGACAAAATAACCTTTAACACTGACCAAGTAACCCCTATTACACTAACGAAGTAACCCCTATAATGACTGGCCACACCATGTGGCCAGCCACAAAATTTTTATGATCCATAATTTTTTTAAAAAAAAATTATATACATCCGAGTACAAGGTGTACCCAATGATATTTTCTATATATTTAACATATAATTGGATCCTACTCATCTAACATAAGATTGGTCATTTTAAAAATGAACAAAAAAAAAATTGAGAAAAAAAAAAAAAAAATCAATGAGCACCTACCTCTATGAACACTTGGGTGTATATAAAAAGTTTTGATAATCTATACTATATCCCTACCTTTTAAAATGTTTGAGAAAACTCTTATAAATAGTATTTGGACAATTATATCCTCTAAAATGTTTATTTACTTATTTGCCCTCATTAATGTTAAATGTATCTTTTTTGAACTATTAACAATAATGTGTGGACATTTATATTCCTAAAAATACTTGTTTGTATATTTTCACTAATTATTATTTTCAATAACTAAAGGTGTGACATAAGGCCAAATCGAAAAAGTTTTTCGGATATGGCTAGCTATGATGCGCACGTTAGCTACCCTAGTATTAAAAATCGTTTCTACAGAAGTTTAGGTGCCACGTGGCACCTTTTTCAATCTTTTGTTCACATGCTTAAAAATGTGGCTTGTATAAGATTTGATCCCATAAAAGTATAGTGTTAGCCACTATGCATTACCATATTATTTATTATTCTATTAAAATTAAATTTAAATAAGGATTTCAATCATGAAATTAATGAAATAACTCAAGGCATCGCCTAGGCCTAAAAACTAGTTTTTTTTTATCTAAAAATAAAAAATTTGATGGCATATTAAATAATTGAGATCTACTGTAGTTGTTAAGGTAAATGTTTTATTTTAAACTCATTATTTTTTTATCAATATCAAAAGTTGATGAAAAACTCACCGACCCAACTATCTATATATGCTTGGGAATAGGGAGATTCTATTACCTCATATATGTAACCATAAGTCTGTTAGGCCTAAAGCCTACATATGAGCATTAAATAGATTTTTTAATGGAATATAGTTGAAAATTCATGACAAAATCATGCTTAAATCGATACGATTAATGTTGATCTGTCCTTAGTATTTCCTTTTTTTCAAAGCCTTTAGGGCTATATATATTTATCATTTTTCTTTCACAAATTAAAAATAAAAAGTTAGAGATGGATCATGTGAGGAGATAAATATAATTTTTTTTTTTAAAAAAATCTATCATAAGAAGATTCCAAAAAAAAATGGTACACTTAAAAAGGTCAATTTAATACACTTGTGGAGTATTAGAGCATCTACAATGGATAACTACATCCCTTTATAGCTCTGAGTTGCCACATCATTATTCTCAAGCTAAATCATTTAAGCTATAATCTCCATAATGGCAACCTACTACCTTTTGTGAAAAAAAAATAAAATAAAAAAATAAAAAATAATAAAAAATAATAATAATAATAATAATAATAATAATAATAATAATAATAATAATAATAATAATAATAATAATAATAATGGGTCTTCTCCATTGACTCAATCTGGGTTGTCTGACTTCGTTCCTGGTCGTGTTGTGTCGGATGCGGCTCAGCGGAAGCGAGACAAGTATGGGGCGCGTTGCTGAGGTATTGGCTATGGTTTTCTTCCTTTCTCCTTTTCTTCATTGGGGGAATTAGAGAAGGATGTTGTTGCATTGCTGAAGCGGGTTCAGGCGTTCGCTAGGATTCAGGATATTGGTGCTCGTGCGGCTGCTCACATCTTTAACAGGATTGAGTTCGCTATAGCTAGGGGGGTGGGGACCCAGATTGTATCTCGGCTCCCCACTAATTTATTGTAAATCGTTTGACTTTGTAGGTTTTTGTTATAATAATAATAATAATAATAATAATAATAATAATAATAAATGCAAAAAATAAAATCACATTCAATTTATTTATTCAGGTGTTGTTTGGTTGGAGGTAAAATACACGAGAAATTCTATTTCCTAGGAAATGGATATGGCATGTGTTGTTTAGTTGACACAAAATATCAAATTGGGGGAAATGGAAATTCCAAGGGAAGTTTTAATTTCCATGAAACATGAAAAATAACTTACTAAGTTCCCATTAGTAAGTCATATTTCCCATGATTATTGTGGGGCCTATTTGTTCATGGAAAATAATTTAGTCTCTTTCTTTCTCTCTCCAATTTGTTCATTTAACTAAAAAATAATTAAACAAACTAATAAAACATAGGAAATCAATTCCTAGGAATTTTAAGTTCCTATATCTTCAACCAAACAAACTAGTGTCAATTCCTAGGAAATGGACAAGGGAAATTACTTCCCATGAAATATTATTTCCTATGGGAACTCATTTCCCATATCAATCAAACAACACCTCAAAGTGCACAACATATGCTTTGGGTATAGTGAAACTACATAGCTTTGTAGAGCTATATAGTTTCACCAAAGCTACAACTCCTGTAGCTTCCCATAATGGTAAATTACTTATTTTAGGGCTTCTTTCTTTCCTAAGTAAATAGGTACTTATGAGTTTTTTTTTTCATAACGATTTTACTTTATTTTTCCAACTATATTTTTGAAGTGAATTTATTTTGGTGACCCGACCAAAACTTGACCCGATCCGAATTGACCTGACTCGAATTGACTCGACTTGAATTGACTCGACCCGAAATTGACCCGACTCGAAATTAACCTGAAAATTGGTCCTAAAAATTGACCCTACCCAAACTGACTCGACCCAACCCGAAACGCTTACCCGAATGTGACCCGACCCGAATATTTGCTGACCCGAAATTGACCTGACCTGAACGACCCGTTTGCTAGGTCTAGCAATTAGGTCCTTGCTTCTGATTTTTAAATAGTTGGAGCTAATAGCTCACCATTGTGGAGCTATAAGGGTTGTAGTTTTGGTGAAACTACATAACTCTATACAAAGCTATGTAGTTTCACTTCATCCAAAGTATGTGTTGTCCACTTTAGATTAATAAATTGTTTGTGATTTCTTTTTTTGCATTTTATTTTAAATTGCAAAAGGTTATTATTGTGGAAGTTGTAGCTTAATTAAATGATGTCATTTGAAAAAAAAAGATGTCATTTGAAAAATAATGACAGTGTTAGCCCAAAGTTACAAACAATGTAGCTATTCAGTGTGGATACTCTTAGGCCTTATTATTGAACTCAAATTATGGGGGAAATACTTATTCATGGGAATTTATTATTGGCCATTTTAGTTAGAATTTATTTATTTATTATTTTTTTTTTAAAAAAAGGTGAAAAATTGGAATTCCGATAAATCATGGGAATTAATTTAACTACCTCTACCTTGATCAGTTGATCACTCAAGATTCCCACAATTTATTTATTTATTTTTTTTTTTTATGAAATTACATTTTTGCTCTTAAAAAATTTGAAAAAGTAGTTAAAGTTGTTATAACATATGGGAATTACTTACATAAAGTTAAACCAAACAAAACACAAAAAGTTAATCTCCTTAGAAATCCAATTTTTTTTTTTTATACCAACCAGACATGATTAAAGTATTTCCTAGAAATTATAACTCTCCATGCATTGAATAGTGGCAATGTATTGGTTTTATTTACAACGACAAGTAGCCTTGGGACGGCCATTGGATGTTTTGGGCTGGACCATTTGTGGGAGCAATGGCAGCAACAACATACCACCAATACGACAATACATCTTGAGACTTGGAGCAACATCATATTATTTTTTTTAAGGAAATGCAACACCAATTATTTATTAAGGCTCTCTTCCAAAAAAAAAAAAAAAATTTAATTAAGGCTTGGGATTATTTAGAAGCAACAACCAATTAAATTATGAAAGTGACGACTTATTAAATTATTTGTTTAATTTAGAATTGCAATTTTAAAAATGGTACATAGTATTTGAATGGAGGAAAAGGTGTTATGGAGATGGTGGAGAAATAGAAAGAGGTGTCAATTCGAATGTCCGGATCAAGTTTGGTGAGATCGGGTTTGATGAGATCGAGTTTGATGAGATTGGGTTAGGTCAGTTTTTAAAGTTGAGTCATGTTAAGTTATTTGTCCACACGAGTCAAAACATAAATCGGATATTTTCCAGGTCGGTTTCGAATCGGGTCAGGTGTGATTTTAACAGCTCTAGGAATAGAAAAAGGTAAAGCTATTAAGAAAATGATAGAGAATGGTGAAAAAAAAAGAAAAGAATAAAAAAAAAAGTTTAACCATTATGAGAAAAAAGGAGACTATTTTGAGAAGGATCACCCAATAATTTGGATTAAAATGAAAGCGGTAGTTGAAGGTTGAACACTTGGAAAATTCCACTACAAGGCTTCACTTGCCATACAATTTGCAGCATTTAAATGATCAAACTATAACAGTTAAAAAGAAATTACTTCTCCCATTTTCCATGAGGAAGTTTTGAGTGTGTGAAGAGGAAGAAAATACAAGTTTACCACTTTGATGATAAACAAAATTTGTACTCCGTAATCAACTTTTTATTAAAATATAGGCCCTACAAGTAGTTGATAAAGTCAGATTTCGGAGGACATGACCCCCAATCCACGAGGGGAGCTTTACAAAATTCTCATACTAACTAGACAATTTTGTTGATTTACTTACCATTTGCAACTTGATAAACATTTTATTTTGTTATTCAAAGAGATAAACTAGAGCATCCCTATATGAATAATTGAATATATTATATACTTCGTATGTAACTTGTTACTAAGAAAGTAAGAAGTCAGAACTTGGATGGCCATGGTAAATTATGCATTACAGGGAGTCAGGGAGCTTAATACTTCCAGTTTAAACGCAAAGGGATAGAAGACATAGTTGGATCTAGGATCCGATAACACCTCAAGAGATCTTGACTACGAGAAAACATGGAGACTTTTTTTTTTTTGGTGAAAAGGAAACAAGGAGATAAACTAACATGTTAACGAGTATTGAGTAATGACTGAAGCTTTCAAGGAGAGCCAAGCAAAAATAAAATCAAGGCAAATAAATTTGGGTAAGAAAAAAAGAGAATGAAAAAGAATAGTAGCCTAGTGTTTATGATTTCAGCTGCCACTCTCCTCTGATAAAGGAGTAATAAAATTACCCTTGGCCCATCAAATTAAATTTGTCAGTAAGGCACATGTAACTATGTAAGTGATGTAACCCTTTAACTTCAATTGTTTTGAAGAAAAAATAATTCTTAAAAAATAAAATACAGTTGTACATTTGTAGATTTTGTACCACGTAAAAATAATTTTCATGGATGAGAAATATGGTACTCAGTATAAGGTAGAAGATGGAATGGAAGAGTGCAACCAGATAAAAGAGCAACTCCAATGGTTGTTTTTGGGAACTAGCTTGTAATTTTAATAATTTTCAAGCTAATAGCAAAATCATTTGAGGATAATTCAATAATTAGCTTGGCCAAGCAAAAATTTGCTTGGCCAAAATTAGCTTGGCTAAGCTAATTAGCTTAGAAATTAATTGTCACTAATAAAATATTTATTATTTAATAAATAAAGCTAAAAAAACCAAATGACAATTAGCTTAACCATTGTGGTATAAATTAGCTAGAAGGAAGAATAGCTTTGCTATCCTAGGTGACATGGCAAGCTATGGAAGTTGTTCTAAAGATTAAGGAGTAGAAAAGAAAAAGTGACATTCTTTTTTTTTATTTAGAAGAATTTTTTTCTCACTACTAAGAACACTATTAGGATATACTACGTATAAATATCAAATATCAAAATGTACTCCCTTCGTCTTTTTATTAAGAGCCTGTATTCCATCTTTTGGTAATCAAAATTAAGAGCATATTTCTATTTAAAAATTATACTTTTTGACAATATTTCCCTCTTTTAATGAGTTGTCATAGTACCTTTCACATCAATTTCCAAGGTTCGCTCTCTCCCTCTCTTCAATGATTTTCAATCACCTTTTCTTTCTCTCTATCTCTCTATAACCCCACGTGCACATATATACTCTAAATCATTAGTTTTAAGAAATCTACAACTTTCTTAATTCCCGTGAAAAAACGCTATTAATAAAAGGACGGAGGGAGTGGTAAATTGCAAAAAATAAAAGCGTAAATACTTTTAAACTAAAAAGTTAATAAAAGTAAAAAAAAACAGAGAGTAATAGTTAAATACACCAATCAATAATTTAGAGTTTTAATTATTTTTATTTTTTTTTTTTTTTTTAAAAAAAAACAAGAAAGTATGTTGGGAATGAAATTTTGATTTGAAGACAATCAATATGCTCATAAAGTTTGTTACTTCGTATACGCAACACTAAAGGCTAAATAAAAGCATTACTCCGTAACTACTAACAGAATGAAATTCCGTATAAGGTTAGGCTGTGTAAATCATTTACCAAATTTCACATTCACAATAACAGCAATGCTAATGAATCAAGCTAGATGCATCTTAAACTTGACTCGTATAGATGTAGTATAGCTTTGGCTCAAGTTAAATCGATCATGAGCATGAAGAAGACTAAAATTAAGCTCATGCGAACCAAACCATGGAGATCCACCCAAACAACTAAACAAGATCAAGCTTATCAGAGAACTCAAGCCCAGCTATTTTCATTGGGAATGTGAAAGTCAGAGCAATTTGTCCATATAATTCAAAAATCACCATTCTTTTTGCAATATTGCAACATAGCATGAGGGAAAAGGAGTATTAATTCATTTGATAACAAATTATCTAACTCATACATGTAGCAACAAAAGTTACAAGAAATTACCTGAAATCTAACTATCTCAAAGCTCTAATTGCTTACTTGACTTTTAATCGCCCTTTTGAGTCTTTCAAGGTAGTGCTAAGGCGTTGAAATATCGGAGAGTATCTATGACAGCGAATCATCATAATGAGAACGTAACAGTTAGCAGCTAAGAATAATAGGCTTGCAATCCAAAGAGGTAAGAACACATTCTTCCCCTTGAATTCCAACAAGTAACCCCACATCAGCCAGTGAAGTTGAGTCCCCATCCAAATCACAATACAGGAAAGTCCTTCCCATTTCATTTTCATTTTACTCCATGGCAATACCACTGGTATCAAGGAAAAGAACCACACAAAATACTGTGCCGTAATTACCTGATGTTGAGAGGGTAAATAACATACTCAAAATTGCATATATACAACAATCACTTAAAAAGACTCCAGGCATTAATAAGAAAACGGAAAAAAAAAAAAGAAAAGAAAAAAAAGAAAAGAAAAATAGCAAATGGAAAGGAAAATTACAAACCTTATTGAATGCTACAAATGCCACTGTCTGCACAAGAAAGCAGAAGGGAAGATCCAGGGCATATATGAACATAAGAACCAGCTGAACGGTAAACTGTGGCAGGAAAGAGACGAGCTTTTCTAGTATTGAGAGCTCATGCTCATAATGAAGGTATATGTGGTAGAAATATATGGAGAAATTGTGCCTTGGATCAGTTCGTGTGAGATGGTAAAGTAGTGCCTCATGCAGAAATTCCCACCCATATAAGTAATAAAAGAGACCCGTGAAACCAAGGAAGACAGCACCTGATATCAATCCAAACAGGATCCTAGTGCCTGAAAAAAAGCTCGCAAGCACAGTCCACGAAGACGGGTCTGTATCATCCAAGCATTGAGGTGATTTTTCTTGATGAGAGCTCCAGTTCACAAGCATGGGCTTCTGACCAGATTGGATGAATCGTGGATCAAGAACTAATATTATGGGAAGTGCATATATAATAGGATATATTCGGAAGTGGACAATAAGTCCATACCAAATTGCAGCTTGGTAGACCTTCCCTGTTGACAGATAAGAACAGAAAATCACAAGACAAATTATGAAATTAGATAGTGATATTAGTACAATTTGCTCAAGAAAAAACAAAAAAAATAAAAAAATCTATAATGGCTTACGGTCAGATATTCCAATGCACATGAAGTAAACATACAAGTCAAGTTTGGTAGAGCATTGTAAGATGCACCACACGGAAGAAATGCGGTTAAAAATTATACATGTACATCCACTGATATGTACAAATATCAAGTGTCACTTACTATACTTGCATCTGTCAGAAAGCATTCACTTAGCAAACCTAAAGCCATATAATCTCATTTGTTAGTCGTTCAAGTCTTTTATACTCTAATGAGTAGCACTAAAATTTACTTCATCTCCTAAAATTTCTAATGGTATATTGTCAAAAGACTAGTCTTTCACATTTAAGAGCACTAATTCATATACATTTATATTTACACTAGAAAATTTTGACAGGATACTATTTAAAGACTGCTTTTGTTAGCAAATTCAAAATCATTTCTTCAAATGTATTTACATGCGTGACATATACTTACACATATGAGCATGAATATATATACCATCAATCCCAGTTTTTTTATTCCACTTTAAATTATATTGTTTGAATCACAGATTTCATGTCATGATGTGACAAAGTTTTACATAGGCTATACAGAATAATCACTTTTTGTTCATGTAGCCGACCCCACTTATGGGATTAAGGCTTTCATTGATTGATTGAGTCACACATTTCACCAAAACAAAAGGGATTGATTGAGTCACACATTTCACCAAAACAAAAGGGATTGATTGAGTCACACATTTCACCAAAACAAAAGAGGGTGGGGGGTGGGGGGGGGGGGTAATGATTTATCTCTCTGTGCATGCATAGGAATTGTGAACTTACAAAGTGCAATAACGACTACTCAAGAAAAACTGTTGCTTTCAAGAAACTTCTCAGAATGCCTCAATGATGAAGAGTACCTTCTACAACAATGCACACTAACATATGCAATTTATATGGTAAATAGAGCAAATATCTCAAACCCAGTAAGCCTTCACCTTAACATGAGCAATTTTCACTGGATATCATTCTGCTAGCACTCCCCAGATTTTATTTACAGCAGTATTGAGATATTTCTTTCTTGTTTATCCCTTTTCAACAGCTCCTAATAGTAGATCACTACTATTTAGCTCACAAAGAATGGAACCCATGTCAAAGCACAAGTTGAACCTATCAGGGTAAACAGCCACCAAGTATTGTAGTCTTGGCATAAGTTTAAATTTGTGAGGTTCCTTAAGTATTTGTTTGAGTGATGAACTTGTCATAGAGGTATTTTTAAGCTTGTGTGAAATGACAAAGACTAAAAAAAATATTTATATGAAAAGAAAAGATATTTCAATTTAGAATATTACCCCTCATAATACAGGTAATGATCCACAAGATCACTGCACAAACAAGAGGTTCACAATTTCCACGAGTTCCAATGGTGAAGGTAAATGGGTTGAAAAGCCATGCCATCATGCAGTAAGTGCATATTTTCTCTGGTACTCCACGTAGCTTCAAAATGGAACGAATAAAGTAGCCAACTAGCAGATCTGCAAATTAGAAATGTTGCAACTCAGATGATGGCCAAATAAACTTGTGCACGTCATACTTCCTAGTACACTCCCAAATCTGAAAATAGCAAGACCACAGTAACAGAAGTTATGACAAAGAAATTGTTGACCACAACAATGGATCAGAAATTTCTCTTCTTTCTTATGATACATTATGCTCCAACACAATAATAAAAAAAGAAAGCAAGCAAATTCACAATATCATAAAAATTGGTTATCCTAAACCAAACACAAGCTCAACCAAAGTTTAATGCCAAAATTTCAAGTGTTTAGAGTGGAAGAATTTATTTCAACATACTTGAGGAATATACATCAAAAAAAGAGCAGGGATAAGATGTGTCACAAAGAAATTGAATTTCAGATATCTAAAAGTAATGCCAAGTAAAGTAGCTTTTTCTAGAGCTGTTGGTACCTGCAGCTGAGAATAGATATTTCCCCCAAGAGTAATGAAAAACCGCATTTGGTATGAGTAGAAAGGCGAGCAATGGTGAATAACGATACGTGGTCCTTTTGAAAGGAGACTCTCCAGAAGACATCAAAGTAGCAGCATCAGAAAATACAAGATAATCAACATCAGTGTATCTAACTTCCATATGGGAGTCTTGCCAATCTCCATAGAGGATCAATAGTACCCGTAAAATGGTTGAGAAAATGAGCACTGATTGAAAATTAATCACCATGGATGCTGCATGGGATAAAAATCTTGTTGCAGTAAGTTCCTAGTAGGTATCCAAATTTTCTACAAACTATTAATGACTGAACATTTATCAATACAGTACAAATCATCAAAGCCAATTCTATAAGTGAAATACTTGTGTTGAGAAGGACAACTAATAGTTTGTGTCAAGATAAACAGGGGAGAAAGAACATGAACTAAAATGAAGTGATCATAATCTTACCCCCAAACCAAGTGCAAACGATGACAGTCGGCAGAGGTTCAAGACTGGTGGTGCACGTTGTCCTTAAACTACTTAGTAGCTTCAATTTCTAATCAAGTATCATCAAAAGAATATCATATAGGCAAAATTTGAATTCTGAAGCAACTTCAAACAATCATTTCTCAACTCCTCCCAGGCCTTTGGAAGTATACACCTGAATTCAAAAACTTTATTGAAAATATTGGAATTAAGTTTCCTCTTGATATGAGTTCTATTTCCTGCTATTCAAGCTAAAAATTTACTTTCTCTGTTTCTTTTTACGAGCAAACAAATCTCATTTCATGCTTATTAATGCATCATTTCAATTACGAACATCCTTAATCATCAGTAAATAAAAATTATAAAATTTTTATAGTATGAAAGCATAAATTGAGGCAAATGTAACAAGATTCTACATGATTATATATATTTCCTTAAGAATGAATCATCAAATCTAGTCAAAGTAATGTATGTAAATAGAGTATAAGTCACATTATTGCAAATATAAAGAGATGGAGGAAGTATGTCCTAAGCTTGGTAATTACATTAATATGTTTCAGTGGCTGCTTGGGTCATATTAATATTATGAGGCAATGCATGATCAATGAAAAATCAACCCGATATATATTTACAACACCGTGATTAAACCTGAGATCGTCAGATACATTGTTCCCACATAGATCATTCCATCTACTGGACTATTACACACATTGCATTGAAACTAGTCCGAGTCTCCTACAAACCATTATCTAATGCAAGATGCTTAAGACTTTATTACTAAAAGGGATACAAATCAGATTCAATCGAGATTACTCCGTACGATTTTACATATTCAAAATTTGTTTCTTCATCTTTGCATCTATAAATTAAATTGGGCACCGAGCACAATGAGAAAATGTTCAATTTCATACTTATATCTTAACATTGATTAGCAACCAAAATTGACTCTATCATCTAATAAAGCTCCAAACATATATACATTCTTCTTGCTTAAGAATATCAACAAAAATTGCTCGTTATCATCTTACTTGATTTCAGTAATAATAAGCAGTAGTTTAATAATCCACATTAGAAAAACCCTAATTTGATTGTACTGAAATTTAAATTAACGATGAATTCTAGATTGTTAAATTGAAATTCAATCATTAAGAAAAAGATTGAACAAAATCTTACCTCAGAAGCAACTTCAATGGAGGAGAGAAAGCTCAGAATACGCTTCAATGGAGAGACAGAGAAATAGGTGCAGCGTTGAAGTGAGAAGCTCCAAGAGGGGAAAAAAAATGAAAAATTGGGAACAAAAAGGAAGAATTTTTTTTGGGATTACTCCGTTAAGTTGGTCGTTAATTATACTTAGATTCAGTAACGTTTTCCCACCATTACTCTGTAAATTGAAGCATTTGCCCTTTCCTGATCTGGAAATTACGTTTATACCCTTATCATTTAAGTGTTGTGTTTTCTTGTCCTTGCCAAATTTGTCTTCGTCGTGGTTCTCTCTTGGACAACTCAGCTCGTCCTGTACTTTTTCTTTGGTGTCTTTATTCCTCCTCTAATGCATATGGTCTTTAATGGCAAAAATAAGCTCGTCCTTCCTCTTGCTTTGTTCTTGTCACGAGTAACAATGACGGAATCACCGAGAGCACCGACCTTGCTTGCTTTCAATAGAGGAAGTATTTTTGCATAACAGTGATGCACATGTGAATAGCATCACAACTCTATTTTGGCGGGTAAACTAAATTTTGGGAAAACGGGAGAAAAATCAAGAACGGAATAGTAAATTTTGTAATGGTAACTTGCCACAATGGATTCCAACTCAATAGCTGACTTGGCAACTTCTCTTACTTTACCAAATAATAGAGAGAGTTTCAAACTCCATTAATAGAGAGAGAAAGTTTAGACTCCATTGTTTCTAACAATTTTTCACCATTGTTGATGAAAGTAACTAGGAATTGAAGATTGGAAAAGTATTAAAAGAAGTAATTGGTAATTGATATGGCGATCGATTGAATTTTGTGCGAACTTGGTAGAGCTACGAGAAAAAGCGAGCAATTTCAATTAGCCCTAGAATTTTGTTAAAAATGCAAAGCAGTGGTAACAACGAAGTAGAAGATTTGGAGGAAAGGTGGGGTTTACAAGTTTACCAAGATGAAGAAAAAGCAGGAGAAGCCGAACCCGATGAATTGGAAGCAGAAGAGTATGAGTATGCAATGGATTCAGACGATTATGAATTGGAAGCAGAAGAGTATGAGTATGCAATTGATTCAGAAGGGTATCAATTGGAAGAAAAAGAGTTTGAAGCACCACTAGAAGAAATTCAATTCGAGGAGGACGAGCAAATTGTCCAAGTTGAGGTAAATTACCCTGAATTGTTAATTTAATTATTGAATTTTTTTTTTATAACAAGATTATTGAATTATTTCTTGTGACTATGAATGTCTGTTGTTGTCTTCTAAATATGATAAATTTTGGGGAGTTAAGTTTACAATTCAATTAATTGCTGCTGTAATGTCAAGAATTAATTTCCATAGCTTAGTTGAATTAATGCTGTAGTTTTATAATTTTGGGGAGTTAGGTTATTACATCCTGTAATGTCATTGAGCTTAACATTGGGCTTGTTGTTACTTAAATTGGTTAAGTGTCACCATAGTTATCTGTATGACTTTTTGTGTGCAGGGTGGAGAGTTGGCTTTTTCAACTACCTTGAAAGCAATAGTTGGTGGGGGAGTGTATGATGAAGTTCATATTCCACCTCCCGTTGTTGGGATGGTGTTTCCTTCCTTGATGGCCCTAGATCAGTACCTTATGGCCTATGCTAAGCAGAAGGGGTTTGAATTTGTTCAGGTCAGTGGTGCTAAGGACAAGGATGGCAAAAACAGACGTAACACTGTGTGGATCTGTGAGTGCTATGGCCAACCTAGGACACGTAAGAAGACAAATAGACCGAAGATGGCTACTGATTCAATTATATCTGAGGAAGTGGATGTTGTCAAACATAAGTCCAAGAAGTGTGGGTGCCTGGTGAAGTTGAATGGTGGTGTTACGGAAGGTGCAGAATGGGAGATTAGGAAGGCTAAATTGGATCATAATGGGCACACTCCTACACCAGGAAAGTTTAGGAAGATAGCAAGGAACCGCAAAGAAGCTTTGATCAAGAGCAAAAATCTTGTTAGGCAGCTCTTTAACGATAAGAAGTCTAGAGTTCCGGTGAACAAAATATGGAGGTGTATGGCAAGGTCAAGAAATGGAGTATGGGAGATGCCCTTTTCAGTGAAGGATTTGCATCAAGAAGTCGCTAAGGAAAGAAAGTTGAAGTTGGCCAAAGGAGATGATGTGGCAATGTTTCAGTACTTTGCTAAAATGACAGCTAATAATCAAAATTTCTTTCACATGCATAGAGTTGATCATTTTGGTAGGCTTTAGGATGTTTTGTGGGTTGATGCAAGAAGTAGGGTAGCATACAAAGAGTTTGGTGATGTTGTTTGTTTTGACTTAACCTATATGACGAATGAGTATGAGCTACCCTTTTCTAACTTTGTCAGTGTTAACCACCATGGGCAGTCAATCCTATTAGGTTGTGTAATGTTATCTCGAGAGACAACATAAACCTTTGAGTGGGTTTTCAACACATGGCTTTTGTGTATGGGTGGAAAAAGCCAATTGGTATACTCACGGATCAAGATCCTGCAATGAGAAAGGCCTTGAAAACAATGATGCAAGGCACGTGCCATAGATGGTGTATATAGCATATACTATCCAAATTTCGGAAGAAACTTGGGAAGTATGAGAAATACCTAGAGTTTAAAGACGAGTTAGAGAATGCTGTGTATGACAGTCTAACTAAGGATGAGTTTGTTGAGAATTAGACTTTAGTCATTTCAAAGTATGACTTACAGGAAGAAGAATGGCTTACAGGTATGCCTTTGTTTGTTTTGTGGTTGTCTTATCTCTATATTTGATTGGATTGTATTATGTTTTTCTGCCTTTGATTGGTTATGGTAGGCTGTGTTGGCTGATGGTATGTTGTTGCTTAATTTTTTTTGTTGGTTGGTATTCTGCCTTTCATTATTTGTGCTGGTTCAATATGCTTCTCATGTTGAATATGAGGTTGGTTAAATACCTATATGGTGCAGGGTTTTTTGAAGAGAGGGAAATGTGGGTCCCTGCCTATTTGGACATCTATTTTGGACGGGTATGAAAACAACACAAAGGGTAGAAAGTATAAACAACTTTTTTTATGGATATGTTGACAAGCACACTCGTTTGTACGAGTTTGTTGAAAGGTATATTGAGGCTATGGAGGCTAGGGCTGAAATTGAGAAGGATGCTGATGAAAATTGTGCGCTGTATGTCAAGCAGATAATGATAGACTTCCCCCAAGAAATTTTTTTCCAAAAGATTTGTACAGATGCAAAATTCAAGGAGGTACAAAGAGAGTGCGTGCGTATTTGTTATTTGAATTGTGAGAAAAAGCAGGTGTCGGAGCACTATTGGGAACACATTGTTGAAGATAAGGTATGGAAAAAGCTGAAAAACACAAGGAAGGAGAGACCCATTTGCAGAAGGTGGTTTTATAATGTGACATATGACTTAGTCACGAAGGAGGTCAATTGTGACTGTAAGCATTTTGAGTGTCATGGTATAATGTGTAGGCACATGCTCAAGGTCTATGATTTGCATGATCAAGTTGATGTTCCAGATAAATATATCCTTCGTAGTTGGAGGAAGGACATTCCAAGAAAACACATAAGGGTGAAGGTTGCTTATCACAACCCTACGAAGACCGAGGTTTTCCGCAGGTATGACAGGCTAATGGTTACTCTGATCCAATCAATTCTAAGGCGTCTATGTATAAGGAGACCACAAATTTAGTTATTTAGGCCCTACAACTTCTGGACCTCCAAGTAGATGAGAAAATTGCCATGATTGAGAAGAAGAAGATAAAAGCAGAACGCGACTCCAAATTTGGGACGCCAACTGGTGGGGCTGAGAAGCATAAAGGAAGTAAAGAATGTACCCCCCCATCAGTCACTCAAAAGAACAAGCTTATTCTTCCTCCTTCACAAACAGATAACGAAGACAGTGGAACTTGCCAAAATGTTCAATTAGGTGCTTAGTCTGGTGTAGGGTCAACATCCAATGTATTAGACCCTCCCATTCCCCTAAAGAAAGCACATAGGACATCTGACCTCCGCCTTTGTTCTTATACAGAGCTAAGTCGCAAAGAACAGGCTGCAAAAGACCAAAAGGCTGAGCGTGAAAGGGCTAAAATGGAAAGACAAAAAGTTGCTGAGTAAAGGAGGCTTGAGGCAGAGCAAAGGAAGATTGAGGCTGAGGAACGTAGGCTTGAGGCAGAGAAAAGGAGGTTAGAGAAACAACATGCGGAAGAGGCTAAAAGAGCTGAGAAGGAAAAGGCTATGTAACAGAAAAAAGAAGCTCGTCAGCAGGCAGCCTTGGAGAAAAAACTTGAAAAGGAGCGTCAGCGATGGTCAAACAGCAACAACAGCAATAGGTTATTACCACCCCATTTTTTGACCAAGTATGTTGGTGGTTTATATGTTATATAAATCCAATTTAGTTTGATTACATTTATTTTTTATACATAACTCGTGGGTTGTGGTCCAGGTCGCTGGTGTGGTCTAGGTAGGTGGCCTTGGCAACGCTACAGGTGCAACGATATCGGGCCGTTCGACCGATGGAATTCAAATGCTTGACCTCAATGGTGTGATAAGTTACTTCACTACTCCGCCAACTGGTCTTCAAGGAGGACTTTAGGACCCGACACTCTTCTAGCATCGTATCCATCGCAGGAACTCCGTTACGGGGCTCATGTTTGTTTACCCCCAACTGAAACTAGTACTTCGGGAAACTCTTCATAGGCAAACAATTGAGCCACCACTTTCTCAGTGTTTATAAACTGAGGATGCAGTAGTATCAATTGTTGATTATAAACTGTCATTATTTAATTTGTAGTGAATTTTAATTTGTAACAATTAGCACTCATTTATTTATTTGTATTGTTTTTATTTCTTGGCAATTTCATTAATCTTAGTTGTGCAGTCCAAATATGTAGTTGTGTATACCAATCAGTTTAGTAGTATTTGATTAAAAACTTTTGTGCTACTCACAGCACGTTCGGTACTACTGATAATTGTAGTAGTACTTTGATGAGTGGCGTTTACACCACCATTTCACCCTTTTTCACTAATTAATTCCCCTTATTTGTCACTTGTTTGTACCTCTTCTTATCGTTTTTACCTTTGTTTTAGTTACTTTTGTTCTTTCTCGTGTTTTTCCTTTTCTTTATCTTTTCTTTTGCCTTTTACCCTTTATTTGTTTGCTTTGATAGCTCCTAGCACTCGTGGGCGGAATTGGAGTTGCTAAGCGGAGTTGAGGTTGCTAGAGTGGCTTATTCCAAGAAGAGGAAGTGCAAAAAAGAGAGGGCGCACTGCTACAGCAAGCCGCGGGCGCGGGTACCATAGCCGCGGACAGGAAGCCTTTGAGCTGAACACTAGTTTCTGGAGATGGCTGGGAGATGACTTGGAGAGGGCGCGACCCTGATGGCCGTGGGCGCGGCGAGCTGGGTTTTCCCAACTTCGTACCCACAGTAGAGAGGGCGCGACAGCTTGCTGGAGAAGCCTCTTCCTCACCCTTTTTCTTTGTTTTATCAAGAAACTATATATAGTCTTTGGCTTGAATTTTCATGAGCATGATTATTCACTATTCCATTAAAAAACATTGTAGAGAGAGAATATCAACATTTTAGAGAGAGAAAGTAGCTTAACCTTCAAGTTTCCATTGTTGTAATCAAGATCTTTTCAAGCTTCCTTCAAGTTTTCATCTTTTCAATGCAACTAGTCCATGTTTGCTTAATCCTTCAAGTTTAATACTAGGAATCTCTTTATCCCTTATATTTTGTTTGGTTTTATTGCTCTTAATAGTGTTTATTTCCATAAAGTTCCTTGCTTTTACTTATTTCATTGCTTTTCTTTGGGTTTGAATCATGTTTGGTTTTGTTGGGATTGAATACATGTTTAGTGTAGTTGATATGGCTATCTTCCTTTCTCTAGCTTAGATTTTTGGCTAGGGTAGCTTAGATTTCTAGCCAGGGAAGGGGGGTGAAAATCATGATAGATTGAGTTTATATTGATGATTGATTGGGTTTTGCCTTGAGTTGATGATTTTGTGCTTATAATGCTTGGAGCTATTGTTGTGCACCTCGAACCCCAATATATGAGTTCTAGATTAGATGCATGAGAATGATCTAGTTTAGGTTTGATCGATTTCATTGATTTGCTTTGAGTGATTGCATGAGAATGAATCATTTTGAGTAGAGTTTGTACTCCTTGGCATGAAACCATGATGATTATCATAGCTGTCTTAGTAGATCATGATTGGAACCCCCTCTCCCTAGTGTTTTTGATCATATTTCTATTAAAATCTTATTTTTCATCTTTATTTTGGTGATTCTAGTTTAACTCTTTATTTTGCTTGTTTTAATCCTTTCTTAATAGATAGTTTAATCATAGATATTCACTAAAAGAAACCAAAATACCCCTTGTTACTTGCAATAGATTCTTTATTCCAATTTGATTATGCAATACCCCGTCTCCTTGTGGTTCGACCCTAGCTTGCCACTATCTAGTGTAAACTTGATAGAGTTAGGTTAGGAATATAAATTGTTGATTTGATTTAGGATAGTAGACACGACCTATTGTCCTTCGATCAAATTTTTGGCGCCGTTGCCAGGGAAACGACCAGTTTTGCACTCTTATTGTGTTATTATTGGATTTATTGCTTTTTATTTTGTTATTTTACTCTCTTGCTAGTCATTGCTAATCATTTTCTTAGCTTTGGTGGATGCTAAGGAGGTCTCAAGGACCACCTACACACTACATTGACCACGAGATCGACCGCACTTTGAGACAAGTCCGTAGACTTTATCAAGAAGAGGGGCGAGGTCTTGGTGCTATTGTTGAGAGTGAAAGTGATTCTTGGTCTTCGAATTCTCAAAGTGAGAAAATGGCGGGATAAGAAGATGATGTTTTGTTTTGTGAGTTGGGAATCTGGAGGATTATGAGCTCACCGGGAGGGATTTTGCATCCCGTCTCGGAAACCAATTTTACCATTCATCCTCAATACACTAGAATGGTACAAGAGGAACAATTTTTGGGTTCTCCAAGTGAAGATCCTATTGAGCACCTTGATAGATTCCTTGAGCTTTGTGCCATGATTCAAACGAATCAAGTTTCTCAAGAATACATCCATATGCACTTATTTCGACAATCTCTTTTGGGTAGAGCAAAGTGGCTCAAACAAGTTAAGCCAAATTCTCTTACAACATGGAGAGAGGTAGTCAAGGCATTCTTGAAGAGGTTCATTTCCGAATAAAAGACCGCCGAAATGAGGAGGAAGATTGCATCATTTGAACAAGAAGTGGATGAGAGTCTTAGTGAAGCTTGGGAACGGTTCAAGGAGTTGGTACAAGCATGTCCTCACCATGAATACAATCAAAGCTTGCTCATGCGATTCTTCTATGATGGATTGGAACCTATGTCTAAAGCTAACTTGGATGCGGGGGCGGGTGGACAATTGATTAAGGTCCTCCAAAATCAAGTTGAAGCAACAATTGAAGAGGTAGTGAAGAATTACTCATGGGGTGGTAGAAGGAGGAATGCACCAAAGAAGGGTGGAAAGTATGAATTGGAGAAGGTTGATCAATTGCAACATCAAATTGAGCTTTTGACAAAAGGGCTTGCAAAGTTGAATACGATCGAGTGTTAATAGTGGGGCAAGCTCCTCTCAAGTCAATTCTTTCTCTTGTCAAAGTTGTGGTGGTAGAAACCACGAAACATCTTATTGTGGATGTTTGAGCCCCGAGCATGTGGCGGCATACAACACAAGGCAAGATGGATATAGGGGAAGTGGCGGTGGAGTAGCTTGGAGGCAACCACCACCCGAATTTGCTCACGAACCTCAAAAATGGAGTCAACAAGCTCAACAATCATACAACTTCAACCCTCAATACCAAAACCTACCTCCATTTCAAAACCAAAACCCAAGAGGAAACTACCCAAGAAACAACCAACACAATAATCAAAACCAATACAACAATCAAAATCAAGCGTCTCAAATGAGCCAAGAGCAAGCATCTTAACCCGATTCTACAAAAACCCAAATTCTTCAACAACTTCAAGCCATGAATCAACAAATGCAAGAGGTCAAGTCTCATAACAAGATGGTTTCTTCACAACTAGCTCAATTGGTCGAGAGAGTCCCTTTCAACTCACCTTTTACTCTACCCAGACAATCACAAACTAACCCTTCCAACATCATAAAACCCGACTCTTGCAAGGCAATCACATTAAGATCGGGCACATCCTTTGAGGGTCCTAAGGAGGGGGTTAGTGAGGAAAAGAAGGAAGGAGAAGAGGGTATGGGTGAAGACAAGGAAGTTGAGGAAGTGAAGGTTGTTGAGAAAGAATGAAGTATGGAGAAGAAGAAGCTTAAAGTTGAGAATACAACTTCAACTCCTAGTGAGGCTAGGAATCTTGATGGGCCGGTTCCATTTCCCGGTCGACTTGCGGAGAGGAAGTTGAATGACAAGTTTGCAAAGTTCCTTAGTGTGATGAAGAATTTCCACATCAACCTCCCTTTCATCGAAGTTGTCACACAAATGCCTTCATACTCCAAGTTCCTCAAGGATATTCTCACCAACAAGAGGAAGCTCAATGATGAGCTCATCACTCTTCCCCATCAAGTGAGTGCACTTGTCCAACATAAGATACCCAGGAAGCAAAAAGATCCGGGAAGTTTCACTTTGTCGGTAAATATTGGGAACATGGAAGCTAGGGGCGCCTTAGTCAATCTTGAAGCAAGTGTTAGTTTGATTCCTCTATCTATTGCTCAAAAGCTTAACATTGAAATGATCCCTACAAGGAAGACTATCCAATTGGCCGACCGTTCGGTGAAGTTACCTTGTGGTGAGCTTGAAGATGTTTCTATTCAAGTTGGGAATATTTATGTGCCTTGTGATTTTGTAGTGATGGATATGGAAGAAGATGTTGATACTCCTTTGATTTTGGGTCGTGAAGCTCTTAAGACTTTGGGGGTGGTGATCAATTGCAAGAACAACACCATTACATGTGAGTTTGCCGATGAAAAGATTGTTTTTGAGTTCTTTAAGTTACTCAAGGCCCCCATGGTTGAAAAGTTCTATAGGGTTGATGTTGTGAATGAGGAGTTAGATCGCTTGGGAAGGGTTATGATGAAGCCTCAAGATCCAATGGTTGAAGCTCTTACATGCAAGGAAGAGTATCATTCTCAAGAAGCAAAATAGTTTGTCATGTCCATGGAAGAAACTCAAATGGAAGAAGACCATGAACAACAAGAAGATAAAGAAGAGCTTGAACTAAAGGAGAAGAAAATGGAGGAGAGTTCCAAGCCTCCTCCCAAGGTAGAACTCAAGCCCCTTCCCCCCTTTTTGAAATATGTTTATCTTGGAAATGAAGGGGAATACCCTATTATTGTCAATGCTACCCTTGATGGTCTTGATTTGGAAAAATTGCTTGTTGTGTTGAGAAAATATAGAAATGTGATAGGGTATAGCATTGATGAGGGTATTAGCCCCTCTTTATGCATGCATCGTATTCATCTTGAGGATGATCAATCCACCTCGATTGAACCTCAAAGGAGGTTGAACCCCAAACTCCAAGAGGTTGTCAAGAAGAAAATCTTGAAATTGCGTGAAGCGGGCATAATTTATGCTATCTCCGATAGCAAGTGGGTTAGCCCAGTTCACGTGGTTCCAAAGAAAGGTGGAATGACCATCGTCAAGGGAGAAGGAGGAGAGGAAATCTCCACCCGGACGGTGACCGGGTGGATAATGTGTATTGATTATAGGAGGTTGAACAATAATACAAAGAAAGACCATTTTCCTCTCCTCTTCATGGACCAAATGTTGGAGAGACTTTCTCACCATGCTTTCTTTTGTTTCTTGGATGGGTATTCCGAATTTTTCCAAATCCCTATCCACCCAAATGACCAAGAGAAAACTACTTTCACATGTACATATGGAACATTTGCGTACCAAAGAATGCCATTCAGATTATGCAATGTTCCTTCTACATTCCAACGATGCATGACTTTCATTTTTTTCGGAGATGCTTGAAAATGAGATTGAAGTTTTTATGGACGATTTTAGTGTTGGTGGCTCGTCTCTTGACACTTGCCTTTATAATCTTGAAAATGTTTTGAAAAGGTGTCAAGAGACGAGTTTGGTTTTAAATTGGGAGAAATGTCACTTTGGTTGAGGAGGGTATTGTCCTAGGCCATAAAGTGTCAAAGAAGGGCATTGGGGTTGATTCGGCCAAAGTTTCGGTGATTGCAAAGTTGCCCCCTCCTACCTCCGTTATGGGAGTAAGAGCTTTTCTAGGGAATGCCGGTTTTTACCGGAGGTTTATCAAAAAAATTTCATCAATCGCCAAACCTTTGACCGAATTACTCAAGAAAGATGTTGTGTTTAGCTTTGATGAGGTTTGTCTTGAGGCATTTCAAAAGATCAAGGATATATATATATATATATATATATATATATATATATATATATATAATTCAAGATCAAATTAAAGAACCGTAGACACCTGATTGTGTCTCCCCAAAAAGCCAAACCCACTGATGAGTACCTTTCACGTCTTTGATTATCGAGTTAGGTGAAGAGTTGAAGATTCTCGTGAAGTTCCTTCACGCCTTGACGATTTCTAACCTTTATTTAAATGTTTTGAATCAAAATCATTTATTTCGTGCCCTTAAACCCAAAATCATTCATTTCGTGTCTTCAAAATCATTCATTTCGTGTCCAATTCATAAAAACGTCCAAACCAAATTATTTTGGTCCATAATCCTGGTCCAATTATTGGTTATTTGGATGGGGTTTGAAAAAATCTTTTCAACGATATATTATAAGCCCAAATCCGACTTATAACAAAGAAGTTATGGCCAAAATACTAAACTGAGCCTGAACCAAGCCTTACCTGCGACCCAATGACCATGTGGAGGGTTTATTTACCTTATTTTCAATCCTAAACCAATTAAGATTCATTAATAACTTCTAGAATTCTGTAGAAGGTTCTAATATATCCTTTTTGAAAAGATAAAGATCAAGAGTTTGAAATTGAATAAAACTCCTCTTTTTGAAAATTCTTGTTCTATTTGAATTCAAACACATTCAAATATGATTTTCATGCCTCATAATTTTTATCCAAAAATTAAATGCTTGGATAGCTCTTGGAATTATCTTTCCAATGATATATCATCATCCCAATTCCGAGTTATAACGAAAAAGATATGATTAAAATACCAAACTCTATCCAAATCATACACTGTCCCACTATTTCGGCCATTTCTCAAATTCTACAAAAGATATCAATCTGATTCTAATTGGGTTGGAAAGAAGCACTACACGAAACCAGCAAATTGGCAACGGTTCAAACCCCCCAAAGGCAATGGTTTTGAACCGTTGAGTATTTGAGGGTTGCCAAATCCCAAAAAAATTGGCAACGGTTCAAAACCGTTGCCAACTCAAGCAATTGGCAACGGTTAACCGTTGCCATTGACCATGGCGCCTTTTTTTTTTAAAAAAAAAAGTAATTGGCAACGGTTAACCGTTGCCAAAGGCAATGGCGCGCCTTTTTTTTTTTTTTTAAACATTGGCAACGGTTAACCGTTGCTAATGACCTGTATTGTTTTTTTTTTGGCTGCACTAATATTCACCTGTTTTTTGTTTTTTTTTTGGCTGCACTAATATTGACCTGTTTTTTTTTTTGGCTGCAATATTATTATTATTAATAATAATAATAATAATTATTATTATATTAATAATAATAATTATTATTAATATTATAATAGTAATAATAATAATAATTATTAATATTATAATAGTAATAATAATAATAATTATTAATATTATAATAGTAATAATAATAATAATAATTATTATTATTATATATGATAATAGTAACAATAATTAGTAACATTAATAACAAAACATAAATAATTAATAATAACAATCGCAAGAGATGATATAAATTAGAAAAATGTTTCATGTATAGTACATAATTAATAAGCTAAGCCTAGGATTGATGAATAGATGATATACTACAAAAATGTATGACGATATTTACAAATTAAATGTGATGTAGGTCGCCAACATCTCCCGAATTACATGGAGTTCCTCGCTCGTGTATGGAAGTCTCGTTTGCCCCTTGCAAAACTTAGAATACACAAAACCTGAGTTAGTAGAAGTGAAATAATAATAATTGGGGTTAGTTATAGGTGACTAATGTTTGAGATTACAAGAAAAGAGCAAGTAAGAGGTTTTGGGACGCAATTTCAACCAAAATGGCTCAAGTAAGGCCATTTTGGCTATTAGGATGCCTATTTTCTATATTTCTTGTCTATTGAACTTATAACTAGTTAAAACATGTCATTATCACTTAGTTATAGGTGACTAATGCTTGAGATTACAAGAAAAGAGCAAGTAAGAGGTTTTGGGACCCAATTTCAACCAAAATGGCTCAAGTAAGGCCATTTTGGCTACTAGGATGCCTATTTTCTACAATTCATGTCTATTGAACTCATAAATAGTTAAAACATGTCATTATCACTTAGTTATAGGTGACTAATGCTTGATATTACAAGAAAAGAGCAAATAAGAGGTTTTGGGACGCAATTTCAACCAAAATGGCTCAAGTAAGGCCATTTTGGCTACTATGATGCCTATTTTCTACAATTCTTGTCTATTGAACTCATAACTAGTTAAAACATGTCATTATCACTTAGTTATAGGTGACTAATGCTTGAGATTACAAGAAAAGAGCAAGTAAGAGGTTTTGGGACGCAATTTCAACCAAAATGGCTCAAGTAAGGCCATTTTGGCTACTATGATGCCTATTTTCTACAATTCTTGTCTATTTAACTCATAACTAGTTAAAACATGTCATTATCACTTAGTTATAGGTGACTAATGCTTGAGATTACAAGAAAAGAGCAAGTAAGAGGTTTTGGGACGCAATTTCAACCAAAATGGCTCAAGTAAGGCCATTTTGGCTACTAGGATGCCTATTTTCTACAATTTATGTCTATTGAACTCATAACTAGTTAAAACATGTCATTATCACTTAGTTATAGGTGAATAATGCTTGAGATTACAAGAAAAGAGCAAATAAGGGGTTTTGGGACGCAATTTCAACCAAAATGGCTCAAGTAAGGCCATTTTGGCTACTATGATGCCTATTTTCTACAATTCATGTCTATTTAACTCATAACTAGTTAAAACATGTCATTATCACTTAGTTAAATGTGACTAATTCTTGATATTACAAGAAAAAATCAAGTAAGAGGTTTTGGGACGCAATTTCAACCAAAATGGCATACCTCTTCAAGCTGACGTGTGTCTGTACAATGACTCATCACTATGTCATACATGAATCTCATCACGTATAGGCCACAGTCAACTCCGTTTTCCTGTTGTGCGCACTAGCATGAGGAACAAAGCACATGAATCAAAATGCATAGCAAATAAGCAACATCTTAAGCATTGTAAAGTAAGAAAATCACAACATCATAGGTGAATTACCTTGGGTGCTTTCCATGTAGGACCTCGAGGAGATCGAGGATTTATCTTCTTCATGGTACTACAAAAAATCAAAGTAATTAGTTCAAATTTGACGTTTATAATCAATACATATGAGTTCAAATATGAAAATGAATAACAAGAAGTGAAACAAACTAGATGCTTACTTTTGCAGTATGGACCTCATGAGGCGCTTTCTTACTTGAGGTAATCGAGCAGAATCAAAGTAGAAGATTGTGTTACTGGAAACACAAATCACAAGTAGGGTCCAATGATAACTACACACGAGACAAACAAATCAATAGTTAGCCTGTTACAACAAATAAACTGGGAAAACAAATGAACTTGACTAGCATAATCAGACGTACTCCTCATAGTATGGGACGAATATAAACTTGTCTCCTGCACTCACTGATTTCCTGATACCCCGTTCAGCATAGTACAACACGTCAGCTGAGTTGCCTAAGATTCTAGAAGTGGACATCTGCTCAGGGCACAAACACCCAACTTGACAAGGAGATTCAAGCTCCCATATTTGCTCCTGGAGTGCTCTGCATGCATGATAACACAATGTTAATCGAAAACCAAACGACAAACACCACTGAACTGAATAACATAAATTGAGTACCAGTTGAATTACCTCATGGATATTTGAATGAGGGAAATGTTAAGCATTGCACCACTTAGAAATTCCTTCACATCTTCTT